GTCGAATACCATGCACAGGTTTCCAAGGTGAAGCCAGGAGTGCTCCAAGACTCATCTTTCGCATGTGCCTCTATCCCAATCAGGATATTGATGCCTTCGTTAAACATGAAGGAAATGAGAGGTGCGTGCGAGGCGCATATGATACGATATACCACACAATGAAAAAATAAAACACCTTAATCCGTATTGCAATTGACCTTGTGTCTGTAGATTATGGGTCAGGGGGTCATATCAACTGATTTGTAGTGCATATTGTGGGACTTTTTTTGCGAACCATAAGTACAACATGTTGATAAATTACTACATGACCGGGCCCAGGGATTCTGGCGTACTTGATGAGATACTATGGCGTGGATGGCAGCAGGAAGCAAGAGAAAAAAATAGGCGCCGAGTCACGAGGCCGAAGAAGCGGAGAAAATTCGGCATGACGGCATGCCGATCATTACGTTCCAGGATTCGGGGATCAATCGGCACACCGCGGCAAGGCAGAATCCTTGAAGAGGATAGACCGGCACACCATGGCTAAGAGGAATCCCGGATATGTGGGCCTGAGGTTGTGCCCACGAAATGCCAAACTGTCTGTTGATAGGATGTATATGTCCTTCAGGTTCAACCACAAGGTAGGAACCGGATAATACTGTCGTATTTCGTTCAATTCGGGCAGTTTGGGGTGTGACACCATCCTACGAATTGTACCTTTCATAACCGAGCCCCTTTAGGGAATTTGATCTGTCAGCAGCGCTCGGCAAACCTCGGCTAGCTCGGCTAAGGCCAAAAACGCCTTTGTGACGCAGTGACTTACGAAAAATTTCGTAGATTTTTGGGTGTGTGACACGTGACTCTACGAATTGAACGAAATACCACGGTACTACATGACCTTTGCGTGCGGACTCGATTTAGAATGCCGTGAGCGTATGCATCACCCAAGTAGAGTAAGCCAGATTTTTTGTGGACAGACATGGCATCCTGGCATGCATGACTGCCTTTGGTATGAAATCCAGCTCTAGGCTCTAGCATTGATTGACGGAATCCCAGTTGACGTCGGAGTGATTAGGAAATACGAAATCTGGGTTGCACCGGGATGAATCCTCGAATGATAGGCTTACCATACTTGAATATCTTTCTGTTGGGAGGGGAGGAAAACTCTCTAAGTACGAGTCCCGCCACGCGCATTGCGGTGGCCTCACCCAACAAGTAACTACTTACAGAAATTCAAACATTTTGTTCGGCGGTAAAAATTGGGACGATTGGCAACCGGACACAATACAGCAAGATCATACAATTTGAACATCGAAATCATCATAACATGAAACTCTCGCGACAAAGTACAAGCAGCCAGAAAGCCTCTTAGTCTCCACTCGACGCAATCAGCATTACCCATTCATCCGTGATATGCACCCTTCAGCCCGCGCAAAATCGGCCTGAGCAAAAACCGAAGAAAACCTCCTGCCTCCGCCTCTGACTGCGGGAAGAACTTCCCGTTGACTTTCGTATATGTCGACAATTCCTCCAAGGTCTCGAATTTGCGGATCTCTGCCCCCATCATTCCCCAATTAACGAGGTCAACCAAGTTGACATGTACATCTCGAACCGCCTGGACTGAAATAAGCGGGGGAAAGATGTAATGAAGATGACATACCGCCCGACAGGCCTCGAGTGTCAGCGGCACGGGAGAAATGTCGAGCACTGCGCAGAACGACTGCCAGTTTTTGAGGCTGTTCGCGTCCGTTCCAAATAGGTCGTTGAATGTCCGGACCATAGCGAGGCGAAATCCTGCTTGGGCGGCGTCCGCCTCCAAGTCTAGTTCGGATTTTACTTCCCAGTAGTTCGATTTAGGTGGGAAGCCATATTTGCGACACATTGCCTTGTACTGCACCGATACCGGCGCAGAAGGATCATATTGGAAGCGCGGATAATGCGCAAAAAATTGTTCAAAGTGAATGTATGGCTCGGGCATCCGGACCGCACTTTCATTGATATCTGAAAGATGTTATATGAGACCAGATAGAAAAAGCGGAGGCGAAAACTGACTTTGCGAACTTCCACGGGCTATTTGGATGACGATGAGCACCAATGACGTCGGAGCGAAGGAATAAATACCTCGGAACTGCGTGTCCGCCGAACTCGTTGGCGCCGACTTCCACACCACGTCAATATCCCAGGCTACAGATGGCATAGGAAAGCTCACCATTCCGCGGGAACTAGTTGTTTCCCTTTTGCGCAAGGAGCCCTGCGATGCTGACTGAATGTTCGCCGGGGCCTCTGCTGCGTCCAACTCGGCCCTCACCATTGACCCCTGTTTCGACCTTTGTTGCAGATTAGCTCCCTCCTTGCGCAAAGCTGATACCTCCGCCAGCTGGAGAATGCGGCTGCTGGCATTGGGAGTCGACTCGGCCTTCGATGAGTTCAGCTGGCAGCCCATTTTTGTAATATGGCAGCTTACCACTCCGTCGATCTGCCGTTTACGCCCCGGCCTGCGGCCATGCTTCGTCACCTCTTTGCGGGTGGCGGCTTGCTCCGCCAGCTGAAGAATGCGGCTGCTGGCATTGGGAGTCGACTCGGCCTTCGATGAGTTCAGGTGGCAGCCCATTTTTTGTAATATGGCAGCTCACCATTCCATCGATCTGCTGTTTAAGCCCCGACCTGCGGCGATGCTTCGCCACCTCTTTGCGGGTTGCAGCTTGCTCCGCCAGCTGAAGAATGCGGCTGCTAGAATTGAGGGTCGACCCTGCCCTTGGTGGGTCCAGCCGCTGGGTTAAAGAGGTCAATGCGACGCCTAGTAGACGAATCTGGCGGAGACCATGGTGCTCAGCTCGTTCAATATAGAGGCGGTATCGGAAGACAGTCGATTGGGCTCGATCCCTCTGGACATGGTGGCAACAAAGAACAAAAGGACGCCTGGGAACTTGCTTGGGAAGAGGTGCCACGGTTCACGTAACGATGGCCGGATATAGACTTCAGAAGTTTAACCAAACTGCCGATAGCGTCGGCGTATGCGGGCGAATGCCGTGTTGCCGTCATCATCCGACGTTTAGATACCGAATGTAAACATTCCTAGCGTACAATTGTGATTCAACTTTGTTAATGTTCATTTACCATTTTAAATCAAACCCCCGAGGTTGACCATTGACAATAGTTGCGATCAAGAACCTCACTGGCGATGCGCATCGGTGGCGGGTACCAGACAGCGGATGCATAGACGCCGCGAGGGCAGGAGATTGGGTGCGCACCTCCTCTCCTGCTCTCTGATTCCGCTTGTCTGGTTTGGGCTCGGAAAACGGACACTGCGCTTGAATGTGCATCTCTGGCGTTGCCCCCCCGCTCTCGCCTCGTCCCATCTCGACCGCACAAAACCGAATTAGAACTGATAACGAGGGAAATGAAAACGAGACGTCGCGGACGAACGGCCCAGATGCGCGGAACGAGCGGCCGTATTCGAGGTATTGGTACGAGTTCGAGAAGGCTTTTGAGAAGGTTTCATTGGAGGAGATGAGGATCTTGGGAGTCAAGGTGTCGCCGGTCAGAAGAGTGTCCTGTGTGCCGCCGGCGTCGCGTCAGCACAAAGGTTCCCGGGTAGGTAAGAGTGAAAACAAGGGCCACTGACGCCATGGTCGCCCCATTAATTTCTGGTACCCGCACGTCCACAGCCCGCGCTCCGGTGGCCTATGTAGAGCGTCAGGGGTGTCTATGTGTGGGGTTTCCGATTCCAGCGTGGGCTTTTCACGTCATCTTGTTCACCCACTGCTTGCGCGTCGGGGTCGTTCTCGATTTGCTTGAGGCCTCAGTCTGCGAAGGACTTGAGACTCGCCACCAAGGATGAACGAAGCGCGGAGCTTGACGGAACCGGAATGCAATCGAATTTTGGATATTGAGGAACTTGGAAGTGGAGGAAAGAAGAATGTGTTGCCAGGTGACTGTGTTTGAATAAGCGGGCAAACCTTAAACAACTACCCGAGGCGGAATATGGTTATTTTCGAGAGATCTGCTACTTATTTGTAGATTTTACTGGGGTAATGTTGAGAAACACACAACGGTGGTGTGGGTTGATAACGAAAAATTGTCGGGACACAAGTTGCACAAGTCAAGTTTCAACAACCCGCGCAGGAAGCTCTGTGATCGCAAAACGATTCGAGGCGCAGTTAAAATCTGCCATGCTGCTACTGTAGTATTTCGTTCAATTCGTTTTGTCACATGTCACACGGCCAAAAATCTGCGAAATTTTTCGTAAGTCACTGCGTCACAGAGGCGATTTTGGCTTAGCCGAGCTAGCCGAATGTAGCCGAGCATTGCCGGCGGATCAAATAGCCTAATTAGGCTCGGCTACGAAAGGGTCAGGTTGTCACAGCAAAAAAGCTAAAAAACGGCTTACGAATTGAACGAAATACTACAGTACTGGCTCTACATTCATTTTTCTTCCATAGCTCCAAAAAGGCAGGAGCATCATGAAAGCGGTTGTGGCGGCGGCTGCAGCTGTTATAAACGTGTTGATTGAACTTTGAAGCAGCAGAACCGGCTTCGACTTCTGGCACAGGCATAGGGTAATTTCAACATTTTTTTTGCACCCAAAATGGCTCCGCCACAATTATGAATACAACTCAAATTCGGCAACGGAAAGAAATACCAGTGTCGTTGAGTGAGGTCAACCCGGCACTCTACCTTCGGAGTAGCATTGTGAAAAACAGTACAACCGGGTTCGACTCCCGGCAGTCCCTATCACTGCCCTCAACGTCTCACTGCCAAATTTCACGTAACCGAACCGGGTTCAACTCCCGGCACCTGCATTGTCAGGTCGCAAATAGAGTTTTTTTTTGGGGGGGGGGTCAAAATTCCAGTGAAACGGCGGTCACGACCATTTCAAGGCTCAAAGGATAAAGTCAACCAGCAGTAAAGTTGGCAGTCGGACTAAGGTAAGTAAGTAGGTTGAACTGCAATTTAGCTCGACCAACTGCGGTTCTTCTAAGAATCACTGGTTCAGCGAAGGACCCAAGCCTGGTATGAAAGCGGGTGTGGTGGATGGTTCACAGCTGCCTGAAGTGTGGATATTTTCTAGCTTGTGGAAGTAGCAGAACTGGGTTCGACTCCCGGCACCCGCATGAGCCAAATTTGCATGATTCCTTTTTTTAGCGCGAGCAGAAATAATGGCGTGGAGATCAAAGGAACTCGGAGGACAGGCGACAGCTGGAGTTCGACGTGGGATGTCTGATTAAGAAGGGCTGTGTGGTGGCAGTTTCAAGTTCGTGTTTATCAGGGCTTTAAGGTAATAGAACGGTAACCGCGTTCGACTCCAGGCGGCCACACCGCCAACGCACGAAAGCCCATCACCAAGACTCAGGTAAGTATCTCGGGAAAGAGAACTGACTCTGTATGAATCAGGAAGTAAGACTCGAAATAGTGCACAGACCATCTAGAATAATATAAATACAGTAGTAACAGAGGGAAATCCTCATGAGCTTGTACTCCAGGTATCGTGCAAATCTTACTTGGCTGAACCGAATATTCGGAGTTAAACTAGAACAAACTCCCCGAACACAGAAACGCCAACACTTTCGTCCACAGTTCATGAATATGACTGAAGAAAGACAATGAACATATCATGATTCATGAGTCGCGATCATGGCGATCGCTTCAGAATCGCAGAGCCGATTTGGAACTTGAGTTTATCTGGGAGGGTTATTGACTTGAGCCCCTCACAAAGTCAGCAAAGGAGGGAAACTTGAACCACGCTGGATAAACTATTTACAGGATGATACATGATGGTCTGCATTGGTATTGCTTCTGTGATTTGGCCGGGGCTGGTTCCCTCGGTTCCCTTGCTGCACGTAATGCACGAATGAGATCCATGAAAGCCTGATCCACATTCTCCCCTGTCTTGGCTGACACTTCGAGGAATTGGCATCCCCACTGCCGCGCGCGCGCTGCGCCCTCCTCCTCCGAGACCTGCCGTTCATTTTCCGCCTCGGATTTGTTTCCGACCAGTATGTAAATCACGTCTTCCCCTTTCACGCGTTTCAGCACCTCATGGAGGATCTCCAGTCGGTCGAAAGTCGACCGCGACGCGATGGAGTAGACTAGTAGACAGCCTTGGCCTTCTCTGAGGCAGGAGGTCATCAATCAGCTGGAATTGAGGGAGTTTCTTTTTAAATTTACGAACCGCACCCATTGATCTCGGAGTGCCGTGTACTCGTCTGAAATTGCATACATAACACGAAAAAAAATTAATCAGTGACTGTTGCAAGGTTTAAATTGCGCTGCGCACCCTGTCCGGCGGTATCAATAACGTCCACAAAACACAGCTGGTTGTCTAGCATAAACTGTTTGCGATAGCCATCTTCGAGGGTTGGGTCGTAAACCTGCGTCGAGGAAGTAAGCTTCCTCTTCATGGGCGATTAAACGGCATCGGCAGTACCTCTGGTGAATGGGGTTCAATAAGCGGTTGGCGCACCCCGAGACATACTTAGTCGGTCACTCACCGACGAAACAATTGAACGCGAACTGCCGGAAGGGAGTCTTAACCTCGAGAATCGGGTGCGTGAAGTGCTTACCCGAACAGCCAGTGAAGTCTTCCCCGCCGCATCATCACCGAGGATGACTAGAGTCCAGCAATCCATTGTTTCTAAGCCCAGAGCTCACCGCCGCGACTAACCAGGGCTGAGGAACAGAGGCAAGTCGTGACGGCAGGTGTCAAAACGCCGGACGTTTGCGACTTCTTTGACCGTTGCCAACGTCTTGAATGTTAGAGCATTGCCACCTATGCCGTTGGAATGCTCGGTCATTTCGGCCGCCTTCCCTGCTAGCAGACAAGGTCGTGAATGCAAGCCATTTGAACGCTTGGATTTTGCGGACATGCTTATGGGGTTCAATTTTGGTCATAGAGCTAAAGTGAGCAGATCAAACTTTAAAAGGCCTTGAGAGTTTGAAACAGCCGTCACCGACCCCGCACTATGACTTCGGTACCACTTTTGTTTCGGTCATGACCATGGCCAGCCCTTCTCCAAAAAAGCACTCGTCGACAGGAGCGGAAGACAATGCTCCTCAGCCCGGGCCGGATGGCGATCCGCTTCGACGCGTAGGAGCTGGCCGAGTACCGAACAACATACGGATATTAATCCAAGTACATAGTGCATGTGGGTCGTGATGACCTTGTGTCGGTGCGACAAGGTTTCCAACCCAAAATGATGCGGTATCGGCGACTAACTCCATTCAGAAAGGTGCCTGTGGCGCTCTGAGATGACTGTCATCGTCAAAAGCTCACGTCTTCTGCATCTCTCGTCCAAGTCGTGGCGATGGGCCAGCCCGTCTCCAAAAAAGCGCTCATCGACGAGGCCACGACGGACTCCTCGAAGGGCGTCAACAACATCCCGCTCCTCCGCCCGGGCCGGACGAGGATCCGCTTCGACGCACTGGCATGCGAGCTTGCTGAGTACCGCACAACGACATACCACAAGAATGTACTCGAGTCAGCGGAGACCCTCGTGCGGATGGTCCACCGAGAAGTCGAACGTGCTCTCGCCCACGTAGTGACTCTGGGCCAGCCCTTTTCGCAAAAAGCGCGCCTCGCCAAGGCGCGCTCGGACGCCATCGACCAGCAGATCATGCAAGACGCCCTGCGCTACAGGAGAGAGTGCAAGATCCTGCTCCTCGGCTTGTGCGGGTCCGGCAAGCGCACGATCGTGCAGCAGATGAAGATTAACTACGGGGGATTCGACGTGCACGAGCTCGCAGAGTACCGCATGGCGATATACGAGAACGTGCTCGACTCGGCGGGCACGCTCGCACGTGCGGTGCGCCGGGTGGGCGTCGAGGTGCTGGAGGAGGGTGAGCGCGCACACGCAGTACAGCTGCTCGCGGCGTTTCCCATGGCAGGCGGTGTGGACCCGATGCCATTTACGCGGGAGCCGACGGTGCTCACCCCCGGGCTCGCTGACGCCATATGGCACCTCTCGCATGCGCTCGCCATCGAGTGCCTCCTGGAGGATTCCACCGACTTGAAAAATGCATTGTAGTGCGTGTCGTCCTCCCTACTCGCTCCCACACCAACACCACTGACAGTTTCCTCGCTTCGATCCATCGGATCGCAGCGCCGACATACGTTCATTCGGAGGAGGACATCCTGCGCACGCGCACGCGGCGCACCGCCATCGTCGAGACGCGCTTCAGCATGGGGGCCTTGTCGTACGTGTCGTGTCTCCTCATTTGTTTTTCTTGTATCACGCTCGCGCATAGGATCCACATGTTTGACATCAGCGGGCAGCGCTCCGAGCGCAAGAAGTGGATCCACTGCTTTGAAAGGTGTGTCTTTTTCGTCGCTCATTCAGCTATGTCCCCTTCCGTGCCATCTTTTCGCCGTCTTTTCTCCCTCCTCCCTCCCTCATCCCATTCAAATCGCCTACCAATGCTAACTCTGGCGTCTCCCCAGCGTGACGAGCATCATCTTCTGCACAGCGCTGAGCGCGTACGATGAGGTGGACCGAGAGGGCATGGTGCGTGCATTTGTTTGTCGGATCCTCATGCGAGAATGGTGTGCTCTGCCGGGCTCGTGCACGTTCCTGGGCAAGTGGCGGCGGAGGGTGTAGTCTTCGGCGGGCAGAGCACGTCGTGCGAGCGAGGTGTCGGCCAAACCCTTTGGGTGTCGAGCTGTGAGGCCCTGGGATGGGGGGCGGCGGATGGTGCGTGTGTGCCGATGGCGCGAGGGGGTAGCAGTGCCAGGGTCGCTGTGGGCGTCGTGCACTTGCACGCCGGGATGGCGTATGCCCGCTTGAAGGCGGCTGCGCACGGTGGGCGGAAGAGTGTGACTCTGATGTCGACGGAGGACGTGCCATGATTGGGGGTGCGTCAGTATACGTGGGCGTCGTGCGCCTTTCCCCGTTCCCCGCTTCTCTCCTTCTCTACCCATATTCCCAAACGCTGACGACACGTCCCTACAGAACCGCATGCGCGAGTCGCTCTGCCTCTTTGAATCCGTGGTCAACTCACGCTGGTTTCTCCGCACAAGCGTGATCCTCTTGCTGAACAAGATCGACGAGTTTAGGCGGAAGCTGTCCATAGTGCGTCCCGTTCCCTTGTCCCTTACATCCACCCGCCTTGCCTTCGCCGCTTACAACCGCTTCCCCACTGACACCGACCGGGACCCCTCCAGATTCCGCTCGAGCGCTACTTCCCCGAGTACACGGGCGGGGCCGACATAAACAAGGCGGCCAAGTACGTGCTGTGGAGGTTCATGCAGGAGAACCGCGCGAGGTTGTCGGTGTATCCGCAGTGAGTGGCCGTCCCTCTGCATCTCCATCGGCATCTGCATCCATCCTTGTTTGGAGTGCAGCGTGTTTCGAATGTTTGGTTGTTTGTGATTGTGCGCTGACGCTAATAATGTATGTATCAGCCTTACCCAGGCGAGCGACACGCGTACGATCCGGCTTGTGTTCGCTGCGGTCAAGGAGACGATATTGCAGAATGCGCTCAAGGATTCGGGTATACTGTAGGGAGCGCCGCGCCCGCACCCGCATCCGGGTCGTGAGGGTCGTGAGGGCCATGCGGCCCGAATAATATACCAGATATGTAGGACGGGACGGGACGGGACGTGTGTAACTATGGGCGAGGCGAGGTGGTGGGAGGAAACGTAGACATCGGTCCCGAGAATTAGTATGTACCTTGAGATTTAGGTAGAATACCCTAGACTCTTCCCAATCGAGGTGATTCGTATTCATGCTAGGCTCGTGTCCAGCCGTTATCCGTTCACAATGACGAGCAAGCAAGAATTGTGAACTATAACGGCTGGTGGCACTGAGCCGTAAGTTGATAGATGGCAATTTTAAACTCCGATTATACCATATGAGGGGGGGTAAGGCCGCAAGCGGCAGGTGCCGAACCTTGGTTTTTTCGTCACTATCAGGATTTGACTCAAAAGTTCTTCTCACAATACTTGTACAACATTATTCAATATAGAGTCTTCATATGTACGAGATACTAACAAGTACTAGTAGTTCTATGCTAGAGATGTGCACCTAAATTTGTGCAGCATTTCTAAGAGGTCGCCCTCGTATGTTGTTTTAGCCTTTCAGTTCTTGTTAGCATCCTTGGCCGCTGCATCCGCAGCCTT